CCCCAAAACCCCAAAACCCCAGAAAGCTTGAGTCTAACTAACATATATATAGATATGATATTAATTTAATTAGAAAATAATAATATTTAAATATGTTCAACGATGGTTAAGAGATCTTGGAAAAGCGCTACAAGGTCATCAAGAGACTTGGCGGTGGTGCTTTCGGAGAAATCTATAAGGGTAAAAATACTTTCAAATAATTAATTCCACTCAATCCCACTAGCTCAATAATCCTAATCATTGCTATATAGTTGAAAAGAGAAAGACCGGAGAGTTCTTAGCAGCTAAAGTGGTAGGTTATAATTATCAGATTGAGTTGATTGATATTCATAACAATAATTTGATAGGAAAAAGCAGTGAAGCACCAACGACACATCATGCTCTATTGGGAGAGTAAGCTGATCCACAAGCTGAGAGGAAAGAGTAAGTGTTTTTGTTCTGTGCCCTAATAAGACGATTAAACTCACTTATAGCCTGCGTCCCCAATCTCCATTTTGTCGGCGATGAAAAAACTGATGAAAGCAGGACTTATCACGTGATGGTTATGGACCTACTTGGCAAGAGTCTTGAGGACCTCTTCCAAGAGTGCAGACGCAAATTCGACCTCAAAACTGTGCTATAGATTGCTATCCAAATGGTAAGTGCACAGCCCTTAAAACTATTAATGGAAATTAAATCAAATATCAAAGCCATGCTAAACTTACTAAAACCAAAAAACGATCTTTGGCTATATAATCTAATTCTGATACTCACAATTCGATATTATAGATTCAACGTATTCAAAAAGTTCATGAAGAGAGAATAATTCACAGAGATATCAAACCAGATAACTTCTTGATCGGTGGAAATGAGAACAACAAAAATAATATCTTCATTATTGATTTTGGTCTCGCTAAGTGCTATAAGAACTCCGATGGAGAGCATATTCCCTTTAGAGAGGGCAAGAATCTTACTGGAACTGCTCGTTATGCCAGTATCAACACACACATTGGTTATGAGCAGTCTAGAAGAGATGATCTTGAGACAATCGGTCATGTACTACTCTACTTCTTAAGAGGCAGTTTACCTTGGTAAGGACTTCCAGGTAGATCTAAGAACGAGAAGTATAATAACATCAAAAAGAAGAAGCTTGAAGTGACTGTTGATGAACTATGCAAGGGCTACCCTGAGGAGTTCAAGGAATTCATGAACTATTGCAGAAAACTCTAGTTCACTGAGGATCCAAACTACAAGTACATTTTAGATCTGTTTGAAGGATGCATGAAGAAAAATGGTTGGGACCCTAAAGTCCCAGACTTTATCTGGAACAAGAACAGACTTGTAATGGAAAAGGAAGCCCTCAAGCAAAACCTCATGAAAGTCATTAACAAGCCAATGAAGAGACAAGATCACGAGGAAGCTGGTGAAGAACAAAAGAAGGAAACCCCTGCTCCTAGAAAGATTGACAAAAACTCCATAGCTGTAAACCAAGCTAATTAAATTTTGAACTAGAGAAAAGATGGTGAGCCATCAGGTACGGGAGCTCAAAAGAGAGGAACAGAGGTCAAGGCAACAGCTATTGCAGGCTCTGGTATCGTAGCTGGGACAAAAATGTAAAACTATGGGGATCTTTAGAACTAACAGGCTCAGCAATATGAAAACAATCCTACGAACAACAGGTAGACTGATTAATTCAAGTAAATATCATATTATTGTCTAAACGATTTTATAGAAAATCAGCCTAGCAAATGTTTAAGCAGTGAAAGGACTTTACGGGGAAAAGGTTATGATGCTAACAGATACTAACTAACAAGAATTTTAGGAAGCAAATGGTGGCATTTTTTCTCAAGTGTCATTTGCAATCTTCCCTAAATTTCTCTTAAGAATTTCTATAAATCTTCATATTAAATTTCTCAATATTCTCTTCTTATTTTAGCATTTAGGGGTTTTGGGGTTTTGGGG